GCACATATATATATATATACATATATATATATTCGTAGTTTGACCTTGAAGATGCCGGAAGTTCGCTAGCACACATAAAAATACAGAGTTTTTTGGGGGGATATTGATATCCCCAACATACTCTCCCATTTTCCGCCGGTCAAAACTGTAGCAGCTGAGACCGATGTACCTATGATGGTTTATGGATTGAAGATTGAATTTCCTCAGTGGACATAGGATCTCTTCACTCTAAGTCCTCAACCTTCCCTTTCCACTCTACCACGGCTTTCCTTATGGTTGTATGGTGGTTGAACAACACCAATTACCACTGATATTTTGCTCTCGATGATGGTTTCGATGTTACCCCCTTTGTTTGCCGCCAGCTGTTCGAACAGTCATGGTTTGCCCTAAACGGGGAAATTCACCAGCAGATTCCGATTACCCGTTTGGAGTAAGTATTCGATGACTTGCTTCACGGATTGTCACTGAAGGATTTCTGGTACTAACCCTTAACGCACACCGCTCGTTGTTGCAGGCGTTTATAGTTTCGATGAGGGTTATCAGAAACGCCATTTTTCCACTAAACACAGGCTGCTTGGGACTTTTTCGAATACCCCACTGAAACCAGTAAATATCGTGGCCACTCAATTCCATCTGTTCATCACTTGTCACCAGACGCTTGGTCTTTTGCGGCGGTGAAAAACTCGCCTGCTCTTCAGGTGCTATAAAGCCCCTGCACTGAGTGGCTTTTAAAAAACCCAGCCAGTAGTTCACAGAATGGTATCTGTCTCCTGCATTGCGGGTGCTTGTGATATGAGAACAGCAGTCAGACCCTCGAAGAGTCGGTTCTGACAATTGTGTTTCATTTGTGGGTCTCAGGTTATCAGTGGTTAATCTGGAAATACAATGAAACAGCAGCGGACAAATGCATGGTCGGAGTTCGCACATGTATCCCAGAAGGAGCGGCGGATAATGAGCGTTTCTTGCCACATCTATCCAGCTTAAACCTTGTTTATTGTTGGTTTACGGTTGACCTTTTGGTGTTAATAACGTGATCAAGCGATTTCCACTGTCCTGAGTTAGTATTAAAAAGGAAAGGTCGGTTTTCGGCACACAGCTGCTCCGTCTTCGTGCGTCCAAGGTGACCAACCAATCAGACCTTAGTAGCACGAAATCTGTTTGGTTTCACGTTCGGTGTTCACAATGATAGCTAAGCTTTCATCCTATCGAAACCGTTTTCATCAGCTTCACATGTGCAGTCCGTTGAGCACTGTCAGAAAATCGTTCAGAAGCAACTATCAGCGAGCAATCAGCACTCTCACCTGCATGTTCAGCTGCAGCGGCCTTCGCTTCACCAGGGAACGGGCTATCCCCTAAATCGACATCGGCTGCCATGAGTTATACCTGCGGAGATGTGCTAAACTCTCACACCATCATAGTTGGGCTTACTCGCCATGAAGATTTTTGCGAGTTGCTTATTGGAGGATAAATACAGTTTGTTCTAGTGGCATGTTAATTCCACATTTATCCGTCCGATCCTCAACACATGATTACTTTACGGTACCGTACGCGTTGCGCTCATTCGTAAACATCACAGTTGTTTTGTAACTTCGTAGAAACCGGTTTTCAGTTCCAATGGAAACTGCGTGGTCGTAACATGTTGGGGCAAAAGATCTTATTGAAACCCACTTGACTGATGGTCCAAGTGCGGTTACGAGTGAGAATACCTCTCTATGTGTGGGATAGTGGACTTTACTCTGTTTTCTCAACTAAAATCTCGTAGTTCTGGTCAACTTGGTCAAGGTCCGCCGGCTTTCAGATGTCTTTGTTGTTAGCTGCACGGCTGGAAAATACAAGGATGAGTAACTAGCATCCAAACCGGTTCTCCGGCCATCTGTTGCCTATGTGTGGTTGGTAAACCGCTCTCGGCTTCCTTGGGGCTGAATGTGATGCTACGTGCAAACCCTTGATGCATCCAGACACGCAGAATCCCGTTGTTAGCTCTTAGTAGACTTGGTCATAACGGCTTAACCGTGAGCTCCACCACCAGATACTTGTTTGTTGTCCCTCAACATAGTACTGTGTATCAGTGCTTTTGTAGCAGACCATTAGCACACTGTTTAGGTGGTAAGGCACAAGCTGGTAGTATATCGGTAACCTTATGGGCCCCCATACCGACCTCTGTTGGATGATGCGTCCGGTGGATAGTGGTTAGAAAACGGACCAGACCGACATCGGTAAATTTGTTTGCGTTCGACAGGTATGGGAGTAATGTCTTAGTGGCCTTCAATGTCGATCTTGCTATGGGGTGTTGTTTGTGTTGTGCAACCCCACATCGCCATAGGTGTGCTGAAAAGGGTGGATCCTTTACAAATGACTGGCTTGTCCTGAAAAAATAGATAACATGCCTCAAGACCCCTCTTGCTTCCAGGCATTCCCGTCGGATACAACGTCTTCCCGTGCTTCGAAGTGGAAGTTGCGGGTTTTCAAACGTACCAGAGACCATACCATTAGTGGCAATAAGGGCTCCACTGAGTCAGGATTCCATTTTTCAGTTGACTGTACTTAAGTAATTCCAAATGTGAATTTCGGTCGTCCATTTAAGCGAATTCGGTTATGCACTGAAATGCATTCGATTCCAAGGCCCTTCAGATGAGCTGTAATAAGTTATCACAGACAATGTGTCAGAATACTGTCAGCTCGGATTCATTCATTGGTAGCTGCTTATGTGGCTGTTGTGATCTGTTCGCCGAACTTGGCCATTGACTTACAAACGTTTCATCACCATTCTAGGAGGTAGCATTGGTGCCCTGATAATGTCTCTTGTTCGCGATTGCGCTCGAAGTGTCTGTCTTCTGTATGCTTCCATTGCCGTAGCATCCTTGGTGTTTTATTAGACACCCTCCACGCCCAGACGGTACATGGTAGGCTTCAAGGCACTATTTGTGGTATCGATCATCTGGGCTTCAATAGCTGCACAAGAAAATCCACGCTCCACTGTTTTCCCATGTTGCTACTTGCTTGTGAACCCCCGCTGTTCCGCTGCTGTAGGTAGAGGACGGCGAGATGGCTCAGTGGTTAGAGCGCGAATTTTCTGACTGGATGGTCCGTGGCTCGAACCCGACCTCGGCATCTCGACTTCCCCCATCTGAGCGTGTGCAATCTGGTAGTATCCCAGCTGGGATGTGCAGTTGCAACACCCTTTCGGTCATGCCGCCCGAAGGATGCACGAGGGCTGGGATACTGCCAGGTTGACCAAACCTAGACAGGGGAAGTCGAGGTGCAGAGGTCGGGTTCGAACCACGGACCTTCCGATCAGTAAATTTGCGCTTTAACCACTTGAGCCATCTCGCTCCCAATGTAAGAAAGCACCACTACAGTTTTTTCACATTTGTCCATTCTGTCAAATTTGTATTGTCTGTGTATCACATGCCATTCAATTTAAGTTTCTGTTTATTTTCCATCATCCATCCCCTATATTTTTTCTTCCTAGGTCTCCAAGCTGGGTTGCCGAGCCTTTGCTCTGCTGTTTGATGACATCGAACCTCGGCTTTGTCCAGCAGATCGAGAAGTGTTCACTTCATCGGCCCGTGCTCAGGTTGTGTTCGCCAACGATCTCTACAACTACCTTGGGTGCCCCAACGTGTTTCTCTTCTGCCCAACCGAGTACAGCGCCAGCCTAGCAGTACCAAACATTTCCAAGTCCGAATATTTATCTACCGTGGCTTCCTATCTGGCACCAGGTACAGCCTTTTGTAGATATGTGCGAGGCGAGGACTTGTGTTGTTCCCACACATTTTGTCCAGTAGACTTGTCTTTCAATAGAGATTTCATCCTTTCAGTGAAGCCAGTCTACGTTGAAAACCCGAGAAGCACTGTATAACTGTTGCACATTTTCTAGGGGTCATCAGCAGTGTTACAATCACGAATCTTCGAGGGTTTTGAACCTGCAGCCTTCCGGACAGCGGTTGAACAGCGGTTGGCTTTGTGTGTCAGCAGTAGGATTAACCTTCACTTAGACAGGATATATCGCAGCTCATCCCTCAACAACGGAAATCATACCACGTGGTCACGTATTGACTGGCTCCTCGAGTGACGACTTTTCAGAGTTGTCTATCCTGCAAAATTCTGGTCTGTCCATACTGACTTGGTCATCCGGTACTTGTCTGTCGATAGCCATTACCCCGGGATGGGGACCTGAGGCAAGACAGACTGACAGACATGACTTGTTCAGGCAGTATGTAGTGCTCCTGCTACTGCCTACAAACCGCCTCCCTACCGTTTCGAAGTGCACTGGACAGGTTAATAGCCTAGTTCCAACACCAACTTTCATCCTGGTAGCATAAATATATAATGAAGTTAACATATTGAGACCGATTGTAGACTGAAGAGGACTTAGCAAGTGTCTTTGATCAGTCAACGCTCCTGTTCGCCAATCTTTGAACACTGAGACAGAACATGTTTGAGGTTATCTGATAAAGCATCAAGAATGTCTCAAGTGGCCTGCTGCGTGTTTACTGCTCAGGTCCGATTGAGCACTCGTTTAATGCACACTTGGGACGATATCAATGGGTTTTTTGTTCTAATTTTCTGTCCACGCTCTTTACTTACACGTCTTGGGTTATAGAAAACTTTGACACTGTTGCCAGTTGCGGTGATGATGAGTTCACGTTCCAGTGGGGTTCGAAATGTTCAAAGGTGCTCGTGAGTGTATTTTTCTGGGATAGCTATTTGGGGATCTGACTTGGTTTAGATTGTAGTAGGTAATCATTAGAAATTTGGCTGTCTTTCTTCGTTCATTTTGAAAGCAACTTCGTGAAGGTCGTTCATTCCTTTTCAAGAAAAGTCTTATTAATGGGTACCAAAGGTACCAGACCATTAAAAGAAGCTCCAAGTAACGAACCACTGAGTGGCATTTCTTAGTTAGTGGTCTTTCCTTGGAGGAATGACTAGTTGTTCGCCGCTGTTCGGGATTCTTCCTTTGTCTTTATACGTCGATTGCAGTCAACCACGTATTTGATTTGTCACTTCTTTTGATGTGTAGTACACAAGTTCCAAACTTCGTGGGCAGACTAAACTCTGACTTAGCAATATTACAAGATCTCCATAAAATAGCTATCTCCTCGAGGATAGATTACACCTAACCAGCCTTTTCAACGAGGCTCTCCTTAGACCATCGGGTATACCCTCTTAAACCTGCGTGAGTTGAGTGCAGCGACCCATCCCCTGGGGTTCTTGTTGTTTGATGGCGAAGGCCACTGTAATTTGATTTGTCCTTGCTAGCTGAACGTCTCATGTCAGCACGGCCTTAGAACAAACAACCCATTGTTTCTAGTAGCATGCAGATGTACGTAGTTTTAGGAGCCAAATGTCCATGTCTCGCTAATTGAATACACAACGAGATGTCGTGATCATATTCTGTGCCTCCCCCCAGACATCGCCATCATTTGGACGGGCCCTTTGGTTGTGTCAAAAAACATCCTCGCCAAAGAACTGGAAGAACTCACAAAGTTGCTGCAACATCCCATTGTGCTGTGGGATAACCTACATGCGAACGATTACGATCAACGCCGTGTGTTCATCGGCCCCTATTCGGGTCGATCACTGGCACTGCGTCGCAAGGGTCTGATTCGAGGTGTACTCACAAACCCGAACTGCGAATTCGAGGCCAATTACGTGGCATTACATACACTAGCCCAGTGGTCACGGTGAGTCAGCAGTTGTGTTCTGAATAGGCTCTTTGCACCCTGTTTGAGGTCTGAGTGGACATTCTTGAGCCTGAGTATGATTAATTTATGGAATGACAACCTGAGAAGGATATCTTTCCAAATGACTAATACTGAGGGTGGTCATGAATTCGACGGTTTCATTGAATCCACCTCGGCGCCGAATACATTTGCTACCATTGCCCCTCTGGTGAATTCTGGAGACAAATTGACAATTTCAAGAATGCATGCTTTTCTCTTAACTTCATGGTTCTTTTGATCCCATTGGGAGAGAGAAGCTCAGGAGTAGTAGATAAGCACTACTCAGAACTCGCAAGCTGCTATAAGGACAGAACAACTTTTCTGCCCTATAGCATTCACTAAGAAGCCTCACAAACTGATATCTCTTTTGCTTATCGACGACGCTACCGAAAATAAACGAAACGTGATAATGGCAAGGTGGATTGGATATCCTCAGGTATGACATGAGTGGCAGTCATCAGTTCAATTGTAAATACCTTCCTAGAATTTTCGCAACATTTCTTTCTGTTTGCTGCTTCTTCATGAGTTTTACCGTTTTTTCTAACCTAGTCACGGTACTATTAAACCACAAAGCTCACAAATAACCGATAAAGAAATGACCGATGTCGCCAGCCGAGAAACAAACCTGGAGCCGGAAGCAACCGAAACGGAAGACGATGATGGATTCATTAACGATAGCAATGAACCGTCGGATGGAATAAATCAATCGTCGACTACTTATCGACCCCGAGAAGCGTTACTGGTCGCGCTTCGAGACTGGTTGTCATTGATGCGCCAGGTAAAAGAAACATGTGTGATACGTTCTCGGGAGATCTTGCTACCGCTGTTTTTAAGCCATATGCTTCCATTCGATTGCACTTCAATGAGTTTTTGGATTTAGTTGGTTGCTAGTCCTAGGCGAAATACACTCATTTGCACATCAATCTGGTTTTAACGGGAGACTCACCTGGAACCCAACTGAATCTCTCGTTTATGATGTTCTTACCCAACTTCATGAGCTGCACCAAGCCGCCTCGTGTTTCAGTTAGGGGACAGAGTCTTGTTTCTTGCATCAAAATGCACGTCGAAAACAAATCGATGTGCAAATGAGTATGATTCGTTAATTTTGTGCAATTTGGATTTAAGTAGAGCATAAGATTTGCGGAAACTCGGGGATTGCGCCTACCTGATGAGCCCTCAGAATGGCGAAACCGATCGTGTGGTGTCGATGAATTTTCAGCGACCTAATGAGTAGTGTATTATATTTATACAATGCTAGTCTGCTTTTTTTTTACAAATTCCTGGAGGAACAAATAAGCTTTATTGGTTCATACTAGTGCCTCACCTTTGCCAAATCGTCTCCTGATGTCGGTTCACGTTCGACTTTTCACACATCCTACATTGTCGTCCAATTGTTAAGTAAAACAATACAGGACCTGTGGAGGTGAGCACCCATCTGAAAATTATGGTGGTAATGACGCTAGATTCAACTCAATCCTTCGTACATAATATTATACAACTGAGTGCACCGCTCATAGGCAATCTTGTGTTTCATTTGGGATGATATTCCAGATATCATGTTATTTTCTGTCATGAGAAATTTGTACGGCTCGCTACTGGTTTCATCATTTTGCAGGCTCGGCTCGTAATTTGGAGATGAGCTTGATCACGCAAAACTGAGCCGATTTGTACTAAGCATGCCCTCCTTATTGAGTAACCTGTGTAAACGTCCTCTGAGGAACTAGTTAACACCTGCACTCGCTGTCAGTATCTGCGCTGTTGAAGGGGCGTCTCAATCGGCTATCCCTCCGCCTAATTCTCGCTTTTCAGCAGAGTGGTTACCAAGGATACATTTTGTGTATTAAACACTCTAAAACAAGCCGAAAATTTGTGTGCGGTTGAAGTGTAACGTTGCTATTCCACAAATTCAGGCAGCTTCTGAATGCACTGGTAACAACCGTTTTCTGGCGGAGAGAGGAACACATTTGGCTACTTGTCCTCAATGTCGATCAGTCCGAGCTCGCGTTGATTTTGGGCCGGTCAGCGCCTCGATTTTTTTACCAGTCACCTGCGGGTTGGTTTGTGAGCCGTTGTGGCACTAAGGTGGTCGTCATGGACAGCACGACATCAGTGTTGAACACTGATGCTTTGCTGCCGTCTTAGTCTGAAGAGAAGTATGAAGGTGGACGAGTAAGGGACTTGGGGCTTGCTTATTACAACCATTCCTGGACGTCTACACCTCCAGACACTCATTCAGGCAATCTGGACAGAAATCGCAGACAGGAACTTCATTCAAATCGATTAGCAGCCATATCTTGCAGCGTCTCCATTTAGGCGCAATGGGGATCACGTTGTTCTCATCCTGGTAGGCGAGTAGCATCGACAGGACCCAAACGTTTCGTAGCCTCTATCACATACCTCAGCCAGGTCAAGGTTTGGCCACCTCTGCTTCCGCCACCCTGAATTGGGCACGTAAAACAGCACTCTCGGTAGGCGATGGCTCGACATACGCAATACATGACCTAACCAACGCAGCTTCTGGTGCTGGACACATTCTTTAATGGGAGCTCCTGTTGCACAACTGTACTTAGGCGGTTTAGATGTAAGATTCCGCTTAACAGAATGCTAGTTCCCCACGCCACTGTCCAGCTGTTCTCTGGCCAAGTGTACTGATATTCATCTCTTGTTTCACGCTTATATTTCTGAACCAGTGAGTTTACAGTCTGCCAGCACCAGTGTCGGTATCCGATGAAAGTGCCCAAAGAGCATCGAACTCAGGTCGAACTCGAAGGACTAGTCTGTGATCTCATCTGCTCGGCCAAACTAGTCATTTGATCCCCCCTTATAATTTGTAGTTTATGCACTTACACTGGTTGTCAGAAAGACTATATATTGCTATATTGTGCCTCTGAGCGCTTCAATTATGGTTTTCCATACTAATGTCAACAATGAAAACCCCACGCTATTCACAAATTATGAGCAGTTTATTTAAATGGAAAGTATTCAGGCAATATATCTGCTCTTACCTACGTAATGTGGCCTTTTTTCGACAGGATCAGCAGTCACACACAGCCAACTCCAAGAGTAGTGGTGCTGTTTGTGCCACACCAGTCCCGATGGATACGGATACAGCAGAGCCACCACCTTCAGCACCCGAAGCAGAAATGCAGGTAAACGTCTTCTCTGTTAGCTAATCCTTCAGACGAACATAAAATCGGCAATCAAACTAATTCTTGCACGCAGACATGATTTGTAGATATTCACTCATCACCATAATCATAGACAGCATGACATCAGTGTTCAACACTGCCATACCAATTCATGGTTGTACGTGGGGTGGTATACTGCCAGGGCGCACACACCTAGACAGGAGGACGATTAGGTCCTCAGACAAAGCCGTTGGCTCGGATACCTGGCTACAAGGCAACGTTGTTTGACTGGAAATGTAAATTTTTGCGGAACACGCCGCCATACATGTTCCAACCCCCAACCTGGAGTACTAGGAGACTGTGTTCATCAGAGCTCTAACCACTGACCAATTTGGTATGAGAGACTGAGTGTCACGCGGACCCCGCAGTATAGCTCAATGGGTTGCCGAAGTACATCGCGGTAAGGTCCAGTCTCTTCGTGACCAACATATTCACTCGTCTTATCGTATGGGCGAGATGGCTCAGTGGTTGGGGCGCGAATTTACTGATCAGAAGGTCCGTGGTTCGAATCCGACCTCTGTATCTCGACTTCCTCCGTCTAGACTTGGGCAACCTAGCAGTATCCGAGCTTTCGTGCTTCCTTCTGGTGGCATGGTAGTTAGGTACCGAAAGAGTACTACAGCTGAACGATTTTATGTATTGTTTACCCGTCGTGGAATGTGAGGGCCTGTCTAGCTATTTGACAATCAAGTCAACCGTCCACTAATTGCCACGAACGTCTATTTGAGAGCTCAGGGTGCGTTGTACTCGATATTCGAGTCACATCATCAACGTCATATTGTCGACCTCTAGTCTCTGTAAAAGTCATACGATTCCGATATCAATCACTCTGGCCATTCATTGCCTACAGACAGATTTGCTCACTTTATCATTTGTGCACCATACATACACTTGGCTTATTAATCATGAATGAGATGTGGGGCGGCAGTGAGGCGTGGATGACAGTGCTGTAATGATTGAATCGTTGTAGATTGCGTTGGTTTGACGCCTTATTGCTCTGTCTTCCGGTTGGAATTATTGGTAGACAGGCAGGGCGATGTAATTCTTACACGAGGCGGCTTGAACTCCACGTGTCGGCCTGTCACTGGTTCTCACCTCGGCAGACAGCAGATGCGAACGTGACTGGTTTTACCTGGTCATCACCGGATCGAGCTATTCCAAAAGTGCCTTGTGCACGGGCGCTTTGGTCATTCAGTGAGCGATGTATGTCTAGCTGGTTTACGGTCTTGACAGATCGAAACGGTGCGTAGCGGCTAGGCTCCATTGCGCGTGGTTCCCCAATTTTTGGATGATGACAACAGCCTTAGTGTGCGACTCGACGATGTCGTTACCTTCTCCGTTGATCGACAGTTTACTCTTTCCCCATCATTCCTTCAAACATGCTTATGAGGAATCTCGTGTGCACATGCACTTGAGTATTCTGATATTGCTGGATGATGTAACTAACTGTTTGAGAAGGGACAATCCTGTTACGAGCTACTCGATAGCCTATTTTCATGTGCTCGTCGACCAACTACCCTGAATTCATAAGAAGGACGAATGTAGCGAACAAAGTTGCTTTTCAGTGATTGCTCTTTTTGGCTATTACGGTACCAGAAATCACGTGAAAAAGAGGCCAAAATCGGTGGTACACATTTTATTGAGAGGAGAATGAAAGGGGGAGGTTGAAATATCTGTAGGTCACGGAATCAAGTAAGTGACGTCATTATCGGAGAGGTTTGTGGGACCGGACTTTTCCAGGCCAGTTGGGTCACGCAAGGTTGTGGGTCCAGTATTTGGATTCCAATATCTGCGATCGATAGGAGTCTGGATTGTACCGGACATGGTCGGTTCAGAGGTACCCAGTTTATGATGTCGAAGTTCTGTTCTTTGTCGATGACATGATTGGTTTCGGATAAATATGATGCAAATTCACCTGGGTCCGGTTTCTTCAAGCTACCACTCATAGACACTAGATTGTGTTCCCGCATTCTGTCTGACCATTGCCTTGTCATACACCCAATCTATGATGCTCGGCACGAGCATGCAAATGAGTACATACAAATGCTGGTGGTAGAACGTGGGAGTTTGTCCTTCAAACGGGACTTGATAGTGGGGCCGGAATGGAAACTCAAGTCCGGATTGGCAGCCATGCATGTCATATCCTTCTATGCCTTTTGCTGACTAGCTCTGCAACTCAGTCATCTTTGCGTGGGAACCTCATGTAGGTTTAGGCTTTACAGATCCCATAGTCTTGAGTACGAATCGTTCAGGATCTCCATCCTGCAGGACTGTGCGTCCCGAGAATTTTAGTTCCTTTTGTAAGCGGTCAGAGGATCATATCTTCATCGCTGTCTCTGTCAGGCATCTAACGAAGCTGTCAAAGTGAATATACTGACTTTTCCACGTTTGATTTCTGTGGCCTTGCTCTCTGTGGTCCCGTCAGTCTTCTTAATTAATACTGGCTCGATAGTAGCCTTGATGTTAGTATGGACTGAACTGAAACTAATTTGCGCTTCTGTTGTGCTGGTGGTTCGCGTGAATACAATAAACTGGTCATCACGAATGCCTAAATCCACGTGTTTCGATTGTATATCACAATGGCGCATGTGATAAACACGAAGGGGACAGGTTAAACCCTATGGAATCTCTCAGTTAATCTCCCAAAAACCTCGGTCTCCCAAAGTGATGAACAGTTAGGTTGCTGAATTTATTCGCTTCTGTACTTTTGTTCGTTCTAAAACATGTAAAACAGTAAACTGAGTGAAGTGACCCATTACCGTTTTAGTAAAATGCCTATCTAGTTATCACACCACGCCGCAACCCAGTCGATAAACCATGGTAGTCTCAGGGTCACACACTCAACTCTTTCTGAGCACAACGCTGGCTTCGATCAGTCGATCAATAGCGTCCCGAGAAATTCCAGTCTCTCTGACGGAGCACATCTCAGGGTTGATGAGCAAATGTCGGCATTACGCTCAATTGCAATCAATTGCGTCACAGTTAGTAAGATAGACTTTCTGTCAGTTAGTGTCCGCATGATGATATCGTGCACAAATTCTTTTGGATGAATGTTCTTAGGTCTGCATCTCAGGTTTTGTCAGTTTAATCGGCAAGATGGTCCAAATGGTTAGAGCGCGAATTTACTGACCGCAAGGTCCGTGGTTCGAACCCGACCTCTGCCTCTTGACTTCCCCTGTCTAGGCTTGGGCTACCTGGCAGTATCCCAGCCCTCGTGCAACCCTCGGGTGGCATGACAGCTAGGCACCGAAATGGTGCTACAGCTGAACGATTTCGAACCGGCAACTGCAAGTAAATGGGTTGATACAATTGACTAGTGGACAGAGCTGGTGTGCTGATCGACGGCAGTTGGACCACTCTCGTGTATGATTTAAACCTGAGCTGCGCAGCATAGTATGTCCATCGCAGCGCCATGTCTAGTGTTTTTTTTTCAACAGAACTAATGCACCATTGCCGGTGCACGGAAGCTTAAGGGAAACCGGTTTTTCCAAAAACGATTATCTGCGGGATCTGTGTGGTACGCGCTTTCAGATGCTTCCTGACCGCAATACGCAATTGAGTCTCCTTGTCTGACGTACAAATTGGTCTAGCTCTATGAAACAGGCTGTGCAGGACTGCAACCTGCGCAGCTCAAGTTGAAACCATACAAAAATTGTATTCACACTGCATCCGATAAAAACGCTTGATGCACTTGGCATTGTATCAACAGTTGCAGTGAAACGTATATCGGTGAAACTGACAAGAGGCTTGAAACGAGGGCACCATTTTGTGACGGGGACACCAACTTGATTTGAAAAAGTTCAGTTTATCGGCCACAAAGCAGTCGATTGCAATCAGGCGTAATGCTGATATTAGTGCTGATGATTGTGAGATGCGCTCCGTAAAACAGACTGAAATTCATCGGGACGTTATTGATCAATCGATTGCAGTCAGCGCTGTGTTCAGAAAGACTAGCGTGACCCTACAACTATCATGGTCTATCGATCGAGTCACTTTATGCGATAGCTACTTAGGCATCGTATTGCAGCCGTAATTTGTTATTTTGCCCATTGGGCCCGGTTTTGCCACGGAGGTGCATTTTTTATGACATGAAAGTTGCAAACGGAACCAGACCAAACATTAGGTGCACCCTCGTTGGAGCTGTTTTTCATAAGTTGACGAAAAATATGCATGATCCCTTGGTTCGTGCCTCCTTCTGATACAATACCACCTCCCTGGAGCGAGCGTTCACATCATGTTGATTCCTACAGAACGTTTAAATCTGGTCAACGTTTGCAGGGCTATCCAAAACACCAACGTTGGCATGAGTTTACAAGAACTTTGGGGAGTACCAATGGCGACCTTTCAGAGTTACAATCTGACCTAACGGAACATATCAGGGATCCTAGTGTTTCTTGTTTCCTTTTATCTAAGGCGTTCAGCCTTGACAGCTTTTCGGTGCCTAGCTGCCACGCTGTCCAAAGGAGCCAAGGGGGTAAAGATATCTACCAGGTTTCCCTACCCTAGCAAGGAATGTAAAGTCCGTACGGGTATGAATGGTAGGGTTAACCTTTGGTTTACCGGTCGGTCGGTGTTGTTGAGCCCTGTTAAGCGGAAAAACATTAGACCAAGCGGAGAAAACAGGGTAATTGATGGCAGAACAAAAGGGTAAACATCACCCGAATGTAGGATTTCAAAACCAGTTGACGTCGGGATAGTCTAAATTCAGTGTACACCGCCGTCTTTCTCAGAATGTACGTTTTTTGTACCGACTGTACAATTACAACCAAGCTTTGGTGGAATAGTTATTGTGATTTACTTGGTTTCCATAGTAAAATACTGAAAACACCCAAAAAGCTCAACTATCAGTAGAAGTATCTGTAATCCTCCATAGGGGGCGGAGTGGCCCAAGTGGTTAGAGCGCGAATTTACTGACCACAAGGTCCGTGGTTCGAACTCGACCTCTGCCTCTCGATTTCCCCTATCTAGGCAAGTTGCCCAGGCTTGGGCAACCTGGCAGTATCCCAGCCCTCTTGCAACCTTCAGGTGGCATGGCAGTTAGGCGCCGAAAGGGTGCCACAGCTGAACAATATATTTTTATTATTTAATCCTCCATAGAATGACCTAGGTCAACCGGTGTAGTTTCTCCTGTTTGAGTGCTTCATACCAGAAAAGTGGAATCACTCGAACGAGGGACAAGGCGGCTGTCGCCACCCTCTGGCACTCGCGGCAATAGCATGGTATACGGGTGTTTCCCCGTAGTGGTGTGCTCCATACTGTCTTATGGATCGGAGACCTGAAGGTCGTTGGAAAAGCGGTGTCTCCGAAGTATTGCTTTTATATGGTGTGGAGTATGATATGAACTACTCGGGTAGTCTTCCGCAAATGCGATTCACTCGTGACAGACGGGTTAGTCACACTTTATGGGTCACGTATGTCGCAGGTCTGCGGACCGCCTGTCTCGCTGTGCCAACTATGTGGTGGTGGAGTGTAATGACTGAGAGCAGCAATTTTGTGACCGGGCAACGTAGTATGCAGTGTTTTTGAGTAAATGCCGTTGCACCGGTTGCCGTCTCCCCGAAAACAGATCAGAGAATGGCTCGTGGCACTAACGAGTGTGCTCCAATCACGAATCTTCTATTTTACACTCCATAGCTGTCCCGTCCTCCATCGCGTCAGAAAAACATAATTTGATGTAATTGGGCTGGTTAGGATATCGCTTCCAGCGTGTCGATTAGCCCCCGCTACTCTCCCTGTTATCGGTAAACTACTCTGGCACAGGTCATAGTTAAAGTGCAAGGAATAGAGCCTAGCGACGAAGCCTTAAAATACAACTGGGATGAACATCTAACTGATGGCTGCTTTGGACCAGGAGGCTACATTTGTCCGGAAAACTTCGGAGAAGCCAGCCGCCAAATGGCTCATAGCCCTCCCGGGAGGGCTCAACAAGAATGATGCACAACGACTGGCCGAAATAAAGAGCTTTCGGTCAAGTGACGGACGAGGATGAGGGATATACCCGGAAATGTCCATCCCATCTACCCGTGAATAGCACTGGTCCGTCAAGGAAAGGTGCTCAGCGAACGGGTACTTACGAGTTGGGTCTCGGTCCTGACGTATACACGATTGCACGTTCGATTGCCTAGTTTGTTCATTACAGGATGGTTGGTCGAAATGAAACGGACCACCGCGTCATCCTGCAATCCTCTTTTTCTTGCGTGTCCGTGTTTTCGAGAACAAAAGACTATTTATCATTCCGGGGGGATTATTCCGCTGTGCATTATGTATCACTTTTCCTGTTTACTGGGTTTCAGGTTGAACCTTTGCTGGCACCCAGTCCTTCCGGACAGCCCCCTCCTACAGATGCTCTGTCAGACTCTTCCGGTTAGTCTAGCTTATACTGACTGTTCACACATTTTTTTAATTCCTCCCGTATTTGGTATGTTTCTGTCCAGTATGCCCTGTTGGAGAAAACTGTCATTGATGTTCAGTATCTGGCCACTGCTGGCTGTAGGTCGTCCTACACGTTTGTTCTCGCTTTCCTCCCTTCCACTTCATTCCAGGTGTAAGTACCTCGGTCGATGTCACATTGGAAGATTTGGAGTTGTTCGCGGATCTGTTTTATTTGCCTTTCGCTCATGGTCCAGCTGGAATGCGTCTTTTGGAATTGGGTCATTGGCTAAGAGAACATTCGCATGCCTGTGGACTCAAGATTGCCGATCCAGAGGTACTGTTATGCGTGCGTGTGTTTATGTTTGGCTCAGAAGAGACTAATCTTGTTTGTAGTAATTTACCCGGGGAGTTGTTGTTTCTGCCGGTTTAGCATCGAACCAACCCTCGCCAAAGTATTGGAACTAACTTGGGGGAGGGGAGACAGATACCCCGTACCATTGGTCAGCTCCGAGCGACTATATTACAGGTCTAGCGTAAGCTTAAACGTCATGTCCTTGACAATTTGGTCAAAAGCATATCCGGACCCTGTCTATCTACTTTAAGGTGGAGGCGTTGAGTTTCGTAATTAGGAGCTCTGTCTAGGCTTTGACAACTTGACAGTCTCGAGACCCTCTTGCTTCCTTCGGATGGCAACTATGCACCAAAAGGGTGTTAAAGCCGAGGGATTATCTAATTTATTATTATGAGGTTTTGTGTGAATTGAAATCACGTTTGGTTCAGTGTGTGTTTTCATGATCGAATCGCTTCATCGGGCTTAAGATCCATGTGTGAATATTTATCGCGGTCGGTTTTCACACTTGTCACGGTGCAGTGAACAATAAAATGATCACTAAACTAAAATTCAATCGCAATGGCGTCAAATAACTTCAAATTTTTCGATCCATACTTACAAAAACTCGCCAAACTCTTTCGTCGGTGAATGCTACCGTTCGGTGAGTCAGAGGTTGGCTGTCGTAACTATCTGTTATCAGAAAATGATGTACCCTTCTGAGGATCAAATCAATGTGATGATGTGACAGAAGGCCCTTTTTTGGATCTGGGACGCGTCGCTATTTTAGGATTATTCCAAAGATGAGCTGAAGAGAGCTTAGGAAAATGTCTCCTAGTGCTTGATTTCTTCCTTTGATTAGAGCTTGAAGTATTTAGTTTCTAGATTCCAGGGAGAGTTTGTTATTCAGTTTTGTCGTTCACTGTGACTGACATTCCTACTCCTTTATTTGATTCCAGAGGGATGAGTGGATTAAAAAGCTCTCGGAATTCGTCGAATTAGTCTCATCCGTCTCACTCCTTCGTGATCGAATCCAACGTCTTCCATCTAGGAGTATAGCCTACGAATTGGCACCTTACATAACCGAAATGCACACTGTTCTCGGCATGGTGTTGGACTATTTTCGATGGTTGGGTAAGTATTCCGTTTGTCAACCTCATTAGAAGAGCGAGTCTGACTGGAGTTTGCGTTGACTCTTTTGCTGCAGAAGAACTTGGAATCGGTCTTTTTATGTTTTAGTGTTTTGTTATGTACGGTCCAGAATAATACCAGTATCGCCGCTGAAGAGCGTTTTCATGACAATAATCTAACGCTACTCGTGCCCTCGAAAGTGTCGCGTCGTGTTCAACGGCGGATATCTTCATCAGTCCGTCGGCAGGGTGGGAGACGTGCCAACAATTACTGGTCTATACCACAGTGTTTCACCTGGTTCTGTGTTATGCCGTTTTTCAGTCTATCCGTCTACACCAGACCTGTTGATGTTCCGATGATAAGCCTTGTGCCTGCCACTCTGGGCGGTGCGGATTTCAGCAAACTGTTTGAGCTACTGAAAAATTTGTGAGTAGTCCAATTTATATGCGCTTCGAAAGCAACGCCAGGACTGACTGGTTGGTCCGCTGAATGCAGGAAATACTGAAATATTGCAGAGCTGACGACTAGCCGTTGTTTCCTCTGGCCTTCCCAATTATCTAACATACTTTTAAACATCAACAGTGGTCACTGTCAGTGCAGAGTACGCCGAACTTGGGAATGGTTGTTCATCCTCCTTGACCACCCTCGGTAGCCTTTTAAAGTGATAACTTAATCTAACGAAAGGGCGGTGAAGAGTGTTCAGCCACTGTCAATGTGAAGCACTGCACACTTCTCCAAAATCACTGTCTTACATGAATTCTCGCCAAACTAGTGAAATGTCCTTGTGAAACACACAAGACCCAACAAAAAATGACCGTATTATTATGGTGATTATGTGCAAGTGTTGAGTGGCCGGAAACTTGGTCAGAGTAAAATTTGAGGTGTCACATGTCTTGCCACGTCGTGGCGTTTGAACCACAATACAGGAATTGCCGTAAATTTCAAAGCGTGATGACCGCTGAGTGTCGCGCTAATGGGGTGTCCTCGGATTATTCCGTGACACGCAGTCGAATAAAACTCGGCGGAATTGTGTTGACCGAGAGTTTAACAACTGTTTGAAATTGGACAGTTCGTCTGTGTACTTCTTAGGGTCAGTAGCTGAGATGAAGACATGATTCGAAAGTAAATGCGAATAAAGGAAATTTTCGGGGACCGGAACTACCCAACTACACATGAGTGGCCAGTTGGTAATGGAGATTAGGGAAATTCAACTGGAGAAGGGTTAATCCGAATTGATCCAGACGAAGGGCAATACGCTTGAGAATGATTCACGGTCAGAAGGAACGCGTGCCCTCCAAAGAGGAATCAATTAGCAAACCCCTCTAATGAAAATCGTTCGTTTGAGCACATGCACATTCGCGCATTGATATCAGTGTAACATCAAGCAACTCCCAGTGTATCCGTTCACTTTTTCTTTATAATCGTGGGACAACTGGTTCCATTCATGTATTCACATACGATATGGTCGCTCAGTTTTATATGCATTAATTATTATCTGATGGCACAAGGTTGACTGAGCCCTCAATCTCAGTAAGGATCATTTCCTTTGTAAAATTTGGAATCAGGTTGCGTAATGTTTTTCTACTGTAAAGTTCGCCGTCTATGATCCTTCAGTTGCTTTCAAAAGCGTCAACTACTGATCTACATGTATTTCCGCCCCCCCCCCCGCACAGAAACCGGTGTCATGGCAACACGAAGTATGTGCCATTTACGGCGCCTGCTCACATGTAAGTCTACTCTGCTTTGTACCGGATCGGATTTCCCCTCGAAATTGCACACAGCTCTTCTCTTAGCCGTTGTTCGGGTGGCATTTGGCCTGTTGATCGAGCTTGATAAACCGATCAACTACCACCTGATTAGCATCCAGTAAACTAGCCCGAATTACCTTCAGTTCGACATATTGCCAATTATTATGTTGGTTACCCCTCTTTCTCTTCGTCTGTGTGGGTTTCTCGATCTGGTGACAAGTGTGCCGAATAAATTAGTGTCCAGTCACGCATGGCTTGCAGTTGGCAACCTACAGGAAGCCTGAGGACGCTGAGTTACTCCCAGATTATTCAGGTGCAGTTGATGGATTGTTCACACATTTATCATACAGAGTCCATCATAGATAACCAAAGTGAAGCTGTGAAAATTTCCAACAGCATTTCTTGCCTCCGACCGCTGGAAACACCGTGCTAGATAAGCGGTACAGTCATTTTTCACCAGCATAAGGTCCGATTAGCTGGTGGTAACTTCATCTTGTAAAGCCCAGTTATGGTTTTTTCATGTGGTGGCCTAGATCGTTTGTGCGCCGCTGTTTGATCGGACTGTTGTTACTAGTTCCTGTTCTCGATCCACAGGGTTCTCTCCCGGTTACCGAGATATGGTTACTTCTGGTGATCAGGAGCCGTGGACCTTTCGAGGTGGTCTAATCACCGACTTCAGGGGGTTTGTGCGCCGCTGTTTGATCGGACTGTTGTTACTAGTTCCTGTTCTCGATCCACAGGGTTCTCTCCCGGTTACCGAGATATGGTTACTTCTGGTGATCAGGAGCCGTGGACCTTTCGAGGTGGTCTAATCACCGAACTTCAGGTGAGTGTGTTGCGTGCTTAGGGTGATTCAGACATTTCTTAATGTGACCAGGCCAGACTCTTGCCGATTTGTTTGTCTAGAACTGGCCTTTATGCCGCATGGCTGGTGTGTGCACGCCATAACAGCCTTATGTATTCGCGGGGGTATATCTATACTCACGCTGTTTTCGCTGCATTCAATCCTTCGGTGAGCAAGTTAAGTTAATTGGCTTCGGTTGGGTTACTCACTCGATTTTGCTTTTCGCGGTCGATCTGTCGCATCGACAGTTCACTTCCTCGAATCTGACTCTGGTTGGCGGGGCTGTTGAGTCGTTAAGTTGGTTTGATGGCATGGACAACCCTCCAGATTGTAAATCGGTGAGTGTAGTATGCGTGCACACTCAATTGACACTGCAGACTTACCCGATCGAGCTTAGTTGGAGCCGACGGGGATGGTTCACGAGCTGCGCAAACTGACTTAGTTCGCAATCGAGAGAATTAGGGGGCGCTACCATCGGCCGATCAATTGAGTTGAAGTTCACAAAACTGGTGGCACCTAAACAGCCATCTGCGACAACAACTTGAACTAGAAAAGCTATCCGCATTGAGCTTGAAGCGATTCACACTTGTGTACTCTAAGCCCATTGTTCCAGTTCAAAATACCCACGTGAATCTCGGGTTACCATGTGCAACAAAGACATGAAATCGCTAATACCGGTATAATGGATGATACTACTGATGAGGCATACGAGCAGTGTCTTCCCGTAAATCCGCTTCGCGTCTCTTGAAAAGTGAGATCCATTGTGGAATTTGTGGAGTCCCTTTGTAGCATTTGCTTGCATCTGAATATCCAGGAAAGTTCAGGAAGGCGCGTTTAAGGAGAAGATGGATATTCAGTTTTGTAAACAAGATGCATATGAGAGTTTCGCCCCCCTGTCCAATAGTCTGTAACTGTTCAGTCGGTGTTTCTCTAATAAACGACTCCACAGCAAAGGCCTTCTTCCTTTCACCGGTACAACGGTAAAGCTTACCACTCTTACGCGACTATTTGCCTTCATTTCTAGCCGCAGCATATTCCACCACCACCAGGTATATTATGCATCACTCACTTACCATATAAAACAAGTTCTACCTGTTTCAAATCATCTTGGTCCATGCCGAAGATTCTTAGTTTACAAAGAATCTAGAAAAGAACATTGGAGCCAGTTGTACATGATAGAAAACAATTTTTTGGGAATTTGCAACACTGAGTTCGTGTGTTTGACCATCAGTCGGGTTTTTATGGGACCGGCAGGCCCCTGACACGAGGTAATCCGTGAAAGTAGCGTGAAAGCCAACGGTTCACGATAGTAATGAGGTTGGCTGTTCCAGCCATGAAATAATTGATGGCTTGTGTGCATCTGCCACGGTTGCTCTGCTACTTAGACTGTTGGGCGGGGGCTGTCGTTATTCTCGAAAGTAGTTACGTGTGAAATCGCAATGCGACACAGACGTCCACCAAAAAAAGCAACATCTGTTTGACTTAGTTACTAGAAGAGCGTGCTAGTTGAGAGTACAAGCTTACTCGGCAAAGGTCGCAGACTATAAGCTGTAACTTTGAAATCGTACAACCAGAATACAAGTTGCCATCGTGCTTTAAGAATTCCGATTATTTTGGGTGGAATACTTGTGAATTGCCAACTGAATACTCACCACATCTTACATCACAGCCTACGTACAATGTAATCACATTTTTTGTTTTCGGTCTAGCTCCAACATCGAACTGTGCGCCGTAGCTAGCATCTGTATGTATGATGTGTCAGGTAGCCTTGTGGGCAGTTACACAAACTTGACTACATGCTGGAGGGGGGTGGACATGTTGAAAAACCCGCCACCTTTGAGTATGTGTCATGTCCTGTTATTCAGCAAGTTTCTCTACAAGCACCTTGTCTTCTAATCCTACAAAGACGTGTCAAACCTTTGTCGGAAATTTCCGGTCTAGACCGACATTTCCAGTCAGCCTTCTGAGGCGACCTGCCTTTAAACTATTTTCGAAGGATTTTGCACTATGAACCGCCAGTACAAAGACGTGTCAAACCTTTGTCGGAAAAATCTGGTCTAGACCGAAATTTCCAGCCGGCCTTCGGAGGCGAATTGCCTTTAAAATATTTTCGAAAGATTTTGCACTATGAACCGCTAAACAGTACCTAAACCTGGTACACCCTGAACGGTGTCGATCGCAGTTACTACTACTTTGGTGATGTTCACAGACAACAACCGGTTGGAATTAAATTTTTTTCGGGCGTGTTTTGTACATCTCAAAATAAATAGTCACCGAATATTTCCCACCTCAGAGCAACCGAATGAAAGCCATCTGGCTTGTCTGAATGCAAAGCTCGATGCTTGAGACTCACAAGAAGCGGTCCGAAAAATCTGGTCATGTTCTGCTTTGGTTGGTCGTCTCTTCTGAGGTTGATTCGAAGGAAGTTTGCGCCCGAAGGTGATCTGAATTCGCGGTCTGGGTTTTTCTCCCCTTCAGGGTCCTAGGATTTGATGAGACTAGCCGAAAGTGATCACCTTTTGCGGGAGGTTTCTTCTGCCGACAGAGTTGGACAGATATAATTTACCGTCCTTATCCCCTTTGTTCGCAAGGTCCATGGCTCGAACTCAATCCTTGCATCTTGACTGCTCGTGTATAGGCTTGGAAGTATTCCAGCCTTCGTGTGACATGGAAGCTAGACAGGGTGTTGTTACTTTTACTATGCAACGGTACATCAGAGCATGGATCCAAATCACAGCCACATTGCTCGAGCTATGCGTGACTGCTTTCCCAGCAAAATGCACCGCCCACCGTTCGACTATGTACCTTGGGGTTTAGAAAAGGAATTTTTCCCTAACTTGCATACAGAGAGGTACCGTGTACGTTGCAGGTTTAGCTGTGTTCGTTTTAGTCGATCCATTTTGCGTTGCGTTGCTTAAGGAAGCTCTGTGATTGACCCTCGTGCGGTCCACATAGATATTTTAATTTTTTTCTACGCGTCATCTACGATCCATTTTGCGTTGCGTTGCTTAAGGAAGCTCTGTGATTGACCCTCGTGCGGTCCACATTAGATATTTTATTTTTTTCTACGCGTCATCTAGGGCTGGTCAAGTAATGCGTTTCGTATCCGACCTTTCCCTCAACCTGACCAAGTAAACGCCTGGATTGAATTCTAACGTATTATATCGTCCCTTATCCACGTAACCTCTTTTTTTTAGCGCATTCTTCCACTGGAATCGGCCCAAGATCTGTTTCCTGCACCTAGTCGTGCCGTGCCGGGAATGAACACCATGCCACCCAACCCGAATTGGCCCGATTCAACTTCCAGTCAGTTCCCCGGCCCTCCATTCAATCCGCTACAACAAGTGCCCCCCACCTGTTTGCTACGTCATAAGCGTTCTCATTCCTACGTTGTAAGACCATATCAACCGCAAGACAAACCTCAGGTATACGCGCTATTCCGACGACTTCTTTTCGCACGAGTAGGCCTAGCAGAGTCCGCTTTGCCACCGGAACTACACGATCTACCGGGTGATCGGTAAGTGCTGTCGGTTACTCATTTATAATTTGATTACTGATGTAAGTTGGAGAGAACCGAGCAACTGCACACGAGTGGGATATATCAATGTCTACCCAAACAATATATTATTACACTGGGAGAACCTCAATCTGTAATCGCTCCGTATCTTTCTGTGTACCTGTCATCAAATTAACTTGTCCTGTGTACTGAATTGATCAGAATGTAAAAACGGAATGGAAATCGGTTCTTGGATAACCGATACAAAACGCGCCGAGTGAAAATAGTGTCGGGACCGAAGTAACAACGAGGAAACAAAACCGTAGATTGACTAGCAATTCCACATTTGATCGGTGGTCAGAGTAGGTGCCGTGGTTACAGTCACGACTGAGGAGAATTCGTTTGCAGGCTGACAAAACTCACGCAGAGTATTTCGAGAATAAGGTACCAGAGGAATGGCAGCTATCTTTCCCATCTTAAAAAATGTGGTAGGTATGAAGATGAAAATCGCCGATATATCAGTTTAGTCACTATCGCTTCTAAGTCGCTCACAGATATCACCTCATGAAGATTTACTGCCTCTCGTAAGATGCAGTATCGTGAAAACCAGACAGAGTTCTGTCTGTGTCGTGGATGTGTTGACCACTTCAGTACCTTCCAACATCACCCTAGTACACGTAGAGAGACAACAATTGTTGCCTCGGTCTAGAATCAGTTGATCGCGGCGCCTTGTGGAGATCTCGCTCCTTCGAATGTGCGTCGAACAGTTTCGTCAAGCTTCTCCAATACCCTTGGGTGTGTTGGTCCTCAGAGAGTAGTCTCCTTAGTTCACCACGATAAGTGTTGGCCCCCAAAGCTGTCCTTTGCCTATTTCCCAACTTCGTGCTCGAATTAATCGTAAGCGCTCAGTGTTTCCACCTCACGTGGAGCCGGGAAAGGCCCTAAAGATTTGAAGTATGCGGACGATATTGCACTACGTGGTCTAGATGCAATCCCCATACAAAGTGAATAATGCTGTCATGCTTTTTGCACCCTCAAAGTACAGATATCAAGACTGGATGAGTGCACCATCACAGCTTATCACGGCATCGGAACCTGATTTGTCTATCTGGGTACTTCCATCACATCAGATGGCAGCATTGGGGACGAGGTGAGTGCCAGAATCGCCAAAACCCGTACTGCCTTTAAGCTGGGCACCTCTGGAGTTAATAGGGCGTTATCCTGTTGTTGAAAGATAGGGTTCATGACAAGGTGATGCCTTTAGGGTTGTTTTACAACTGTGTAACCTGGCCACTTCGTCCTGAAGACAAAATAAGCTTGTCTGTTTTTGGCCGTCGCTGCCTTCAAAACACTATGCATGTATTATAGGAAGATCGAATCAGCAGTGCCAAAGCGCTACTAGTGGCCCTTGTCAACGCATTAATTGGTTGTCTAGTAGAGGGGTTGATTTGGGCGTGTTCGGCCATGTGCTCTGTGTGCCTCACTGTCCCCTACTTTCTGAGGATGGTCCTGACTGGAATGTGAACAACGCGTAATCTGGAGATGAAGCATGTTGTTCGTGAGTTTGAGATAACAGATACCCACAGCATCAATGGTTGTAGGTACTTACGAAGATGACGATGTCACACAATGTCAAGGGCGCCGTTGTGTCTACTCTTCGTTTAGCTGTAGCACCCTCTCGATGCCTAGCTTCCATGCCACCCAAATGTTGCACGAGGGCTGGGATACTGCCAGGTTGGCCAAGCCTAGACAGGGAAAGTCGATAGGCAGAAGTCGGGTTCGAACCTCTACTCTTATTTATAATCAGCAACCCCAATATTTTATGCTTTTTTTCATTTTTACCTCCTTTGTACCCTTCTGTACTTCCCTATGTCTTACGCTGCCATAAATTGCTGTGAACCGAACCATTGTGCATATGAACACAGTTCGTGGTTCTTAAACTAAGCCAAATTCATCTGACAACTAGTCTCCACACGGTTATCGTACATTTGAGACTTCATCGTCACAATGCACCAAGAGTGTGCAGGTGAGGACCACAGACGGACAAATGGAGGGCTGCCTGATATTCAAACTTTATCAGTTACTTATTGGTGCCGATTGTCAGTTCGTGGATTAACACAGTGTGAATGTGAACAAGTTCGTGGCTGGTGAAACACATTCGTTTACACGCCTATTTGGTTTTCACGGGAGACCCAAGTGAATCTCTCGTTTATGATATTGTTGCTGTTTTCAGCAACCTTACGAGCAGCGTGTTACCTCTACATAAATTCCTGACTGCTTTTGTTCCGTGCGATGATCGATAGCCGTACGCACCTAACACGACAGGGGGCTCAACAAGCCAGCCAATGAATAAGAGTAGCTCTACCATCGAGTATATCTCCTTCTCTGGCCAGAGTTTGTTTGCTCATCGCGATAAGACCAGGTCAGATGCAGATGTTCCGTTGATTCAGTGCTCGTCGCTGAGTTGAGTCTATCGTAGGTTCCTGAATTTGTCTTGTATGTCGGACCAGTTGGACGGCTATCATGTAATATTCGGCCAGAATTGGACATGTCTGGAAATATCGGGTGTGAAAAACACTCCCCGTATGCGGAACTGATACAAGTCCAGGTTTGGCCAAGCGTCCTACCGTTCGGGATTCTGTTTTGTCCTCCTTGGCCATTACGGAAATCGCCAGTAGGGTGAGGTGAAGTTGGTCGTTTCAGATGGACGGATACTGATGATCGGTATTTCTCAAAGGCGTCAATGCGAGGCGCTAGAGCGAATTTAGACAGGAATGGAACGGAGAGGCATGCTAGGCAGGTGTTGAACGCTGTCAATATTTGCGATTAATAAGCATGTTTAATCCATTGCTAGACTGACCAGTACACGACTGTACCCACATGCACTTCGTGAACTGCAGTCCATATGTGGGTCGTGATTTTCAAGTGTGAATATCAAAATCGCGCTTTCTGTTGCCCGATTGACTTTAGTGATACCAACAACGGCGTGTTTCACAGTAGGACCATCTTCCAAGTGGCGTAAGCCTGATTGTGCTACCTTATTAGAATGGGAGCAGCAGCTGACGAGGTTTGTAGTGCATTTGCAAGACGCTATAATTTTAGCCGAACTTAACCTGTGATCCGTGTTCAAAGAATTCCCGTCCGACTATTGGTTCGAGCGAAAACTATGTTCATGTAATACTGAATTAGTAAAGTTGGTATTTTCGCGTTTCCAGAGTTGTACTTATTTGGCGCATTTGACATGATTTCCTCGAAGTGTCGAAACGTACATTAATGGTGGATTGCTTATGGAATGATCTTTGGTGGAGTAAGTCAGAGATGACTACGCAAAGATTCCGCTCTCCACCATAAGCAACTAAGCCCCCATACTCATCACAAACCACATTCAACTAGTTTCGGTTGAGTTGCCTGTCAAAACCAAAAGGAGTATTTGTTGTCCAAATCTTTTTAATTTGGGTTCAAGTGAGGCTGACAGAAACTCGGGGACTGCGCCTACCTGACGAGCCCCAGGAAGGGCGAAACCAGTCTTAGGCTGTCGAAAAGTATTTAGCAACCCAATGAGTGTGGTGTGTTATGTCCAGACAGCCTTATATTTCTTTTTTTTTCTCGTGATGATATCTTGCGAGATTATTATTACTAATATTGTTATTGCTAATAATACCAGCGTATGTGATGCGTGCATTCTGATTCGAACGCTGATGCTTCGCCGCCGTATGATGTTTACCGGCTGCACAACAAAAGTTGAGAACCTCAACTTGGGAGATGTGAAGTCGATTATAAGTTTCGGGCAGAACCACGGTGACTACTCCAAAACGCATTCTGCACTTGGTAAAACGTCGGGAACACAATTAGCGAAGCCTTGGTTTCTCACGAATCAGGAAAGTGCTCGAAAGCCATGGTAAATTTTTCGGAGCATGGGCTGCTAGCTCACTGACGTTTTTAGTAAGAATATTTTGTCAGCGTACTTCAGATTTGCCGGTTCTGGTGTAGTTTTCATTTGAGCGAACCAGCATGTATTCGCCGACATCTTAGTGTAGCCCACCCCCCCCCCCCCCGGAACAACCAGTCTTGTTGTCGCAGTCTACCCAAACAAGGCGGTCTATTGTGATAACGGCACAAGCTCGTGAACATACTCGGATCATCCACCTGTGTTTACACACATTTGATGGCTGCGGCCCGCAGATATATGCAGCCAGTTGAAATGCGTGTGAACCGTGTCTCGTGTGCTAGTGTAATAACGGCTATCGTGTTGGTGTAACCATGGCAACTGGAATCGGTATTTTGCTGGACGAAACAAGTAATCATGCCTATCGCCATTTGCTCAACCGTCTTGTCCACCTTCGTGCCACTGCTCTCCAAAACTGCCTACCTTTGCTCACTCTGTAAAACGCTGGTTTGGGTGGTAGTACGTCTCCGTGATTGCTGATGAATTTGAAAAGAAAACGATAAACCACATTAGTTGTTTGATCCCAAGGGATCTGCAATGTAGCTGGTGATGTAAGGGTCATTTTTCCGTGACTACCGTGGTAGTCAGTACCGATTTCAGTGGATAGACTACATATGTTCACTTCGGAAGGGTGGCTACCTTAGAGGACTTCCAACGTAGCGTCACTTTTACGGCAGAGTTTTAGCGGAATAAATCCTTACTCGTCCATATTGTGATTTACCTTTCAATCACTTGGGGACAAAAACCTACTTCTCTATGGCATCAACGTTCTTGCGGCTCGTTAGCTCCAAGCCATGTGGAACCGGTGACGTGAATTCACCGATTTGATGCGTCGGATGCGTTCACAACCATGACCTTCGCACGACCACAGTCACCTGATGAAGGTCGTTTTGAAACTCACGTCGGAAGCAAATTTCCTCCATCCTACCATATATGAGGTTGAAAGGGCCGAGAGTGGCTCGGTCTATGAAAGCTTTGACCAGTTAAGTCGATCGCGCTTGTAACTCTTGCCTCTCTGGGCAAGGATATAGGATCCGGAAGGTTGTGGATCATGTATGGCCTGGTCACAACCATTGGCGCTGCTGTCTGGAAGGTGCCATCGTTAGTGCGTACCTCATCGAATCAGCCATCACACCCAATGCATGGATTCCTCTCTATCTTGGGCGAACCGGAACATAGCAAGTGAAGCCAATGTACTTTTGAGACACCTTAAAAAGTGACACTAAAATTTAAAGTCACTGTCTTACGCGATTCGTCTGTTGACTCTCCCCTTGAAATACACCAAATGTGTACAGGTGTTTTGTTTCACCGACAGCCCTGTTTACATTGTCGTTTGTTTATGTTTGGTACTATTCGTGCTTGAATCGTAAAATCGTTCAGCTGTAGCACCATTTCGGTGCCTAGCTGTCATGCCACCCGTAGGAAGCACGAGGGCTGGGATACTGCCAGGTTGCCCAGGCCTAGACAGGGAGGTCGAGAAACAGAGGTCGTGTTCGAACCTTGTGGTCAGTAATTTCGCGCTCTAACCACTTGATCCATCTCGCTTGAAAATCATACATAGTAATTACTTATGCGTGTGTTTCGTATTCCTTGATTTTCGTCCGTCTCCTAATTTTTTTATCGATTATGTCCCCTTACCAGCTATCTCCTTCATTTTCTGGAACATTCCCCGGAAAATTGTCTGGTCGTTGAAGGTCCGCCGCTCTTATCCTCCAGTCAGTCTTCTACAGATGGCGCAGAAGAGAGTAGGTGCGTTGGATTCGGTTTGTCCACAGCAGATGCTGTCGCTTGGGCTCGAGGCAGAACCCAACTTTTCAAGGAGGTTCTCCGACAACGGTACCCACTTCCCGTTTCCTCCAATACGATCGATCAAGTTAACCAGAAGGGGTTGAGTGCCGCTGCTCCAGCGGACGTCGCAAAAAAGCGATCTAATTCGTCTTCCAGACCTGATTCACCAGCTGTGGATGACGTTGGGTCGAACCCTTTATCTTTGAAACCACCGTTGACCATAGATGAGTTGATCAAGGTTAGCTTCAGTCTGCTTATTATTGTTTATTTAAAAGTTGATTTTTGTCGATGCCAACTGGGGCAACTCACATTCTCTTTCGTTCCAGTTTTTACTGCATCCATTTCATTCGGACAACGCCGAGGTCGCCGATATAGCTGACGCAGCTGCGGTGTTTCCCCCACCGGAACCGCTGGGCGCTGCGCTCCCGATTGAACCGGCTCTATCCGGATGTCTGGAGTCCGCGGACAACAATGCTGATCGTCGTCCCGGTGGCCTTTTGCCGCCCAACGTCGAAATACCCCCGAATTCCTTCCCAGTCGGATGTAACCCTTCTGTCCTTCCACCCAATGTTCCCACACCAATTATACCAGACACAGCTCCCCCTTCACCACCCGTCGTACTCGCACCTACCGTCCCGATTGCTGTCCCATCTGAGAGCTGTTCAAGCAGTCCGGTCGCTCATATTCCTGGTCTCGGGCGACCAATGCTCGTTGCCGGCGGTCCAGAGGCACTCCACACTGCGCTCACTGCACATCCAGCAACACTCTGGGTCGAGTTCGATGACATTGGCGTGCTCAGTTGTGCGTCAGGACTGACTCCCACCGTGTTGATGAATTATAACCTGGGACTTGGTGCAGACCCCCCAGAATTGGTACTCGATTCAATCGCTCGAAGACTGTTTATTTGTCTGTTGGCCGCTTTGAAAACTATTGGAGCTCATGTAAGTCAGACAGGCTGCAACAGGAAGTTGGTTGCATATGGTGCACACACACAAGCGTTGTAGCAAATATCGTTTTTCATTGTGTCTTTGTTTACACACTTAACGCTTCGCAGTGGATTTACGTTTAGCCCAGGTCGTTGGTTCCTCTAGACTGTCTGTCCATCTTTTCGATACCCGAAATTGGACATTTTTCCTGTGACTAAAACTGCTTTATTACACTGATTCCGAGAGCTCAGAGAGACCAAATCGGATAGGAAAGAATAGTTCAGTGTTTAAGGAACGAACTTATTGACCACAAGGTCCGTGGTTCGAATTCGGCCTCTTCATCTCGACTGTTGCTGCTGCATAGGCACTATCTCATCCCCCTCGTGCTTCTTTCCTTCCTTCGAGTGGCATGGCAGCTAGGCACTGTGTTACAACTGGACGACTTATGAGGAAGAGTGTACTTATGACCAGTATTCAATCAATCCCGTGTGCTTCTACTACAGTGCCCTTCTACTGCTGTGGTCCTATAGATTCACTATTTCCCGTAATGTGCTGACGCGATTGCGTGGTCGGAGAGCAGCAACATTATTTTCATGGAACACGTGATATAACTTTTCCTAAAATCTCAGGTGTATATCATGTCTGGATTGTCTCTCCAACTTCAGCGCCGTTTTCTCAGTCCAGTAACTCAGAGGTAGGATCACCATTGACATTTGATCCATATACGAGGGACGTCAAATAGAAGCTTATTTGTGTCCGATAGTTCCCAGACACTGTTGCTAAGAGCAGTCTTTTGACTGTGTTCATGCCTATGTTATCATTGTGATTCTCACTACACACACTCTGTCGCTTCTGTAGGGCTGTCACGTCTATTTGGATTCGATTAACGAGCACCGTGCTGAATTGTATCGGCGATTCGGATTCTACCCAGTTCCGGCTGCCTCCAACGATCAGTCTACAGTACTCGCCCGCCTAATCTGACGATTCTACAGGTCATGGAACACTCACCTCAGGGTTGCATACACGCACACACACACACACCGTGTTATGTCAGTCCCATTCCTGCCACTTCTTCAACGGATCCAGTCAACCCTAAGCCGCTCCATGCCCCCCAAACCTATTTGTTGTCAACCCGGAATTTTCTCAAAGCCCCTCGACTTTTTTGTTGGACACCCCCTCCCTCGAAGCCCCTCAGTTGTAATAACTTATTTCAATGCATAGCAAAGTAAAATATTCTGAGACAAGTAGGATTTCTATTGGTCAGCGGTTTTTTTCCAGTGTCACCTAGGTGATGAGGTTTTCATTGCTTTTCTCGGGCATAGCACCGGATTGTAATGATCCGTCACTGTCCCCGACTCTCTTGAACCCTCTACCGAAGTATTTCAGAACTCATTTTGGTTTCAATCACTAAATAATAGAAGGAATTTACGAGGTTTACAAACCTGGTTATATAGTAAGCCATCCGATTGCAAGGCCGTTCTCGGCCGAAAGGTGTCCAGCTGGATTGCTTGCTTCCGATTGGTCCGATCCAGCCTTGAGAAAGAACACTGGGAGAGAAGTAACTCAGAATCCCGGTTTAGATGCATCAGGTGCGTTTACATCCTGTTAGTGGTTCTATCTGAGTAAGGTGTTTGTGAAATTTCTAGTCTCACGTAATACTCGTGGCGGTGCTCATTCACAGTATTATCGAACTAGACAGTGCGACCCTCCTGTTGAACCCTGCGTAGCTTCCTCAGCCTCATTTGAGGATGCGATTCCTCTTACACGCCGTGTACAAACACTTAGTACTTCAGTACCCCCCTTCCCCTAGAAGGGCGCTCAAAGAGAAGTACCAGGGTATTTTTCTTGATGGTCGGATGCAGGAACGTGCTTATGGCTTAGTTTCCAAGCTGTTTTTGGTGCTTCAGGAGAAAAATCAGCGATAGAGGTAGGAAGTTAGGTTCCAGTCTGCGTAGGCTCATTTCGGATTTCACACTGCATTCGTTCTTGTCCCATGTACATCAAATGCTAATGTTGTCATGGGACCCAGCAAACTAATGTTGGATACTGAGCCAAGAAAAGTCCTTGGAGATAGTGATGAACCTGTCGAGGATGCGGGCTCAAGATAGCTCGGACGCGGGTTACCAACCGTAATTCAAACCTGCCTCTGTATTTCTGTCTACACTCGGTGGCTAGTACTCTTTTTAAATCACATGCAGTGCCGAAAAGGTTTCAGACCGACCGACTATGTTATCGAGAGTCTGTTGGTCAATACACAACCCGAAGGCTGTTTGAATGAGATGCGTAACCCGCACAGGGCCAGAAAATCTCACATTACCGTTTCAGATTCGCTGAGTGGAATGCATAGTGAGCGATAACACTGAGTGGTCAGACTGGTGATCCCAGGCAGCCGTCGATTCAGACGGCGTGTCATTTGTTTGCAATTCGCTCGATACTGGCATTGTTGTCAACTTTTGTTAAGACTTGGCGCACCTTTGACAAGTTACCAGTAAGTTTTCTCAGGAAAATCAAATTTGATGTCTGTTTCTAGGATGGTGTATTTGTGGAATCGCATACAACCATTTTCCAGTAATACAGTATACTTCTATGCCTATATGTGCGTAGGATGTCTTTGGAAATTCTTTTATTCAAAAATGGATTTCGGCTTCCTAGTAGTACCTCTGCATGCGATATTGGTTGCATATTGGCCAACGATTTCAGTTGGTAGGCCGCTTGTTAGGTGGTGAGGATAACAAGCTCTCGTACGATTGTCTGTATTTAGTCATTTGTGTTCAAGGTCCACGACAATGTGTTCTGTGACCTAGCATGTCACACAAAGCCTCAGAGTGCATCTGCGTACAAAATCCCAGGGAATCTTGAGACATCATCCTGGGTGAAACTTTGTGTTTTGTTATTACAGGAGCCAGCCAGTAGTGAGAGTTAGGTCATTGATGGCAGGTACTCAATACAAATTCAACAGATTCATTGTGACCCAGTGGATTGGGACTTGTCGAAAGCGATCTTATGGCGGCCCCAGGGTGGCCACTTCTGTACGTGTGACCAAACGGTGGGTGATTACGGGCCCAAGTCAGGCGACCTTCGATGTATGACCGTGGATAAGCCACCGGCGTGTCCGTCAAAAAGGCTGCACGCAACGATATTATGGCTGCGTATTTCTGCCCAGCTCTAGGTAGATCCTAAAGCTCGATATGCATCGATTCAAAATTCGGCAGTTATAGAACATTAGAACTTTGCGATTAAATACACCGACCAACAGGATCACTACAACATACCAACGAAATAACTAATCCACAAGATAGCGAAGTGACTGGAATACATTCATCTGAAAATTAATTTCGTTCTAACGAGATGCTCCAGGGAAATCTTGTTTATCGGGTTCTTCAACTGAACGATATTTCACATATTGCAGTAGGTATACTACTGATGAGGTCGCTGAAAACTCGCCCACTACTGGTTTGGTTTTGGGGCTCATTATAAACGAGGGGTTCATATGAGATTCAGTTGAGTCTCCTTTTTGAACGAAGTTAGTCTGATGTTCAAATATAACATAGTATTGATGGAAACTCAGAGGCTACGTTTACCTGCCGATTCCCAAGAAGGGATAAACTGGTAGTTGGCTGTCGAGAATTTTTCAGCAACCTTGACTAGGAACTAAATCATCCTGTCCAAATTATCAGAAAGCAATAATTTCGTTAACGAATAGTTCGGTCGTATCTCCCTAAGAGGAGCGAAGCGGGGCTGCTGAAGTGTACTCAACAACCACATGAATAGTGTCGTGTCAAAAAGGGAATGGAAGCCCCTTTAGGCGGCTAATTAGGCAGTGAATCACACCATCTGGAAGTTTGATTTAAATGTTAGGTCCTCAGTAACTCTAATAGACTGATATGCACGAGGACAAAGCTAGCTGTCGGTTGTCTGCCTTGCAGTGGCTAGGGGTGGCGCACTGGGCTGTCGATTCAGAAAGGGAAACGGACAGCGGATTCATCACACCTCTGGACACTGTATGACCCACTACGTCCTTTGATTCCCTGAAACCTGATAGGCCATGGATCCCGGCTGGCGGTTCACACATTTCACCCAGTGAGGTCATCGGTATGTCACATCGGGGCCATAGATTGTCTCATTCATACTCCGAATTTAGAACTAATCAAGAAAGAATACGACGAACCAGATGATAGGTTTATACAGATGTTCGGGATTTTCTAAAACTACATGAAATGAGATCTACCATCTTCATAGAGGAAACTACTCACAAGATTGCTGAAAACTCTTCGACAGCCCACCACCGGTTTTGCCCTTCTTGGGGCTCATCAGGTAGGTGCGATCCCCGAGTGTCCGTCAACCCTATGTTCTACTTGAAACCAAATTGCACGAAATTAGTGAATTACGCTCATTTGCGCACTGAGTGCCAACTGAAACATGAGGCGGCCTATGTGCAGCACATTTAGGGGTGGAATATCGTAAACGACGGATTCAGTTGAGTCTCTCGTGAAAACCACATTGATTTGCAAATGAGTGTATTTCTCGAGATCTTCAGAAATGACTGGAAGAGGTCAAATAATATGCCTCATTCATAATCAGTGAACCTTTGATATGTTGACTAGATAGTTTGAACAGCATTTCGCACCGGTCATGCATGTTATTCGTTACGAATTTTCGTGATTTTTAGTGCTGGCACTTCCGAGAATCTAGACACAATTAACACGATTATAGCGGCACTCTGTCTGCGACTTGGATTCACTTTCTAGCTGTTTCTGAAGGGTTTAACTTAGATGGGAGATCTGTAATACTAACGGCGTCTCACGTACTTTATGGAACCACAAATGCTATCGCGATTTTCACCAGGAGCAGCAAGTACTTTAGGGATCTCGGCCTTGTCCGTAGTGGTAGGAGTCACGTGCCTGGGCACAGTCGTTCGGGCGCGACGCCTCTCAGCAACGTCGATGTATGTGGGGTTTTTTTCGGTTTAAGTGAACATTCTGTTCACTATCTCTTACAGTTGAAAGATTAGGTAATTGATAGTTTGTTGGCGTCTGCATTTTTAGTCCCCTCGTTTTGTCACCGAAGGATGAGGACGAATCTCCCGTTTGTCGCGACGTTTCACTCAAGCAAGTGCCTTGATGTCCATGTGGTTGCTAGGTCGTACTCGTCTGAATTGACGATTGCACCCTCTGAGCCGATGGTGGGGATTTCGTCTCTCCATGGTGCGGCTTTCATAACGGCTTTTATCAATCTCCCAAACACTTGACGGAATGCCGCCACTTAGATGTTGCAGTGGCAGCTGACCAAACGAATGTGTTATCCCTAAAGTCTGGTCATTTTCCCAGACTTGCTTGTGAATTTTTGGCGGCTCTCCCATGTGTTTCACCCCACACTCGCGTTATCTCGGTCGGCTCTTTTCGACTTAACTGTCAGGTTTATTTGATATCACTTAGATAGCACTATGTGCTTGCCACAAGTTTTTTTTCGGGCAGACACCTGTGTTGAGTACCACATTGCCTCCACTGAGGGCGTTAACACTACTGGGAGACCGTCATTCAGAGTGCAATATCCAGGCTTGCCACACCAGCCTGTTAGTCAGGTTTCTCTCTGTTACTGTCAGTTTCCGATGATTTTGGACTGTCTGAAAACGCATTTGGCAAGTGCTTCGTCAGACGACCATCAGACGATTAGCGTCGGTATCATGAGAAACCCACGCGCCTGGTTTGATGTCAGACAAGATAATGTGTATGTTAGTTGAATATCGACCCGTAGCAGATTTAATAACCCAGTACAGTGTTCCAATTTTTAGTGTTTTGTGAATAGATGGCGATGATTGTGGTGCACAGAGCGGACAGACTGATTGAGATACCGTTTCTGTGGCATGGCAGGACTACCGACCACCGCCTGGAACTGAGCTTATACTGCAGTTTCGGCTGTTTATTGGGAATTTATGGATCCTGACCAGGTCGTTTTGAGCTATTTTTCAGTTTATAATGTCG